GAAAGGAAGAGTGGTCAAACCAAAATTCAACCAAAGCTGCAAGATCAAAGTTGCAGACGAGAGCGGGGCTATTAATCTTTAAGCAGCAGATTAAGTATCAGTCGATTAAACATATATGAGTTATGACAGACATCGCTTATCTGGGACTCTCCAGATTTTTGGCTGAAACTTTTGCCTCTACAACATTTCAAGGACACCGGGCAGGAGAAAACTGAATATGACTTTAACAAGTCTGCCCATATATTACTTGGTTTCACTCAGCTTGCAAGCTGTCGGGCCATCGCTTATATATTGCAATGATTTGTGTTCTCACACTACAGGAACGCAAACAGAGCAAGCTTTATTTTGACTTATTGGGTGAACTATGACTTCTACATCTGGCTGCAAAAATATGGACAGCATCTAAGTGGCAGCAGTTAGCTAATGATTTTTGCAGCTCAGATAAGGGCAGCTTAGTATAAACTAGTGTACTGGTTCTATAGTAGTGTATATTGGTTTTCTAGTAGAGTATATGTATTTAGCTTGTCCCTCCACTCTCTGCACTGAAGGGAAGATGCTAAGCTACTCCTTGAATGACAACATTTGTTTGAGTAGAGGTGATAGCTTCGTTGACCTGCAAGACTTCAATCTGTATTCTTTGTTTGACAAATGCAAAGCAATCTGTTTCCAGTCAACATTACTCAATGTTTGTTTACTACAGCTTAAATCTTAGATTCAGCCATTGTACTGCCATTATTCTTTATCTGTCTTGTTGTAAAGGATGAGTAGCAAACAATGGAACTAATCCAATTACATGAATTGGATAATTTTTAACCAGGCTCTCACTTTTGCTCCAAACTGCCTCACAGGGGAATTGGGAACCACATAAAATTAAGCTGAGGCAGACTTTAAAATACACATTTTACAGCCAGGCCTTTAAGGCTGTGTTTTTATGCAAGGTTCTGAAACAGGCCCCTTATTATTCCAAATGGAGACTCAAATCTCTTTTGTGTTTAAATAGAACAAATACCAATAGGACGACTAGGGAAAAAAAATAGAAAAATACCAAGTGTGATTTGCTACGTAGAAATGCATTCACAAATTCTTCAGACCACAGTTTCTTTTAAAGATAGCTTGTTCAAGCCATATTGAACGTTACACATAAGGCTAAAACTTAGTTCATAAAATACAATACGCACACTTGGCCAACATATTTGATCTGACGCTACACCACCACCCCTTTCCAAAGCACTTCAGTAAGCCATCGTTTACAATTATAGTTGGAGCAGAAAACAGTGGTTAAAAAACTTTGAACTAGTCAAGTTATCAAACCAGCTTCAAGCCCATTGTTTAAAGATTTTTTTTGCTAGTTCCAAAGCAATTGGTTTGTTCCAGATTTCTCTCTCTGCTCATAAGGAGCCATAGTTTTTTGTCGGGTTCCCTTGTCTAGCTGGATTGTACCAAAAAAAGAAAAAGAGTGTGTGTGTGTGTGTGTGTGTGTGTGTGTGTGTGTGTGTGTTCAAACAAGTCTGTTTAAGACTAGTTTATTGCAACAACCACATTTCTATGATTCTCATTCCCTGGTCAAATTTTAGTGCCGGACTAGCAATTAAGTTACTGATTTGAACATCTACGCAGCTACCAACATAACATCCTAACACCATTAACATCTCCTAACCGTTCTGATTAAAAATAATTTTAAATATATAATTAGCGTGGCAACAATGTTGAACAGCAGCATGACATTTGACACAAGCCAGAGCCTGTGCACACAGCATCCCTTCCCATTTCTCATTCTGAAGTCAGGCTGGTTCTGTGAAATATCTTTGACATCCAGCTTTTTATTTTTATTTGCCGAGGACGCCAAAGAAATCGTGTGGACAAAAGAGGGCGCTCTTTAGCTTCTCGGAGAGAGAAGCTGGCTCAGAGCAAGCAATAATAAAAAAAAAATAAAGCAAATTACAAAGCTGTACAGCTT